ATTCATGGGGCAATAGACAGGCCCAGTTGGTAAGATCAACTCTAGACAAGAGAGAGTCAAGGGGCCGACTCGAAGCTCCCTGGGCCCCCAGAGAGCCGGATGGGAAGAAACCAACCGCCAAGTTCCGTTCATTTCACAAGCTCACGGCAAACCCCAGAGCGTTGCTTTGTTGCTTAAAAACGATTTAATTTTTGCAATCGTTCAAAGGGAGCGGGTGCCCATGTGAGAGCTGGTGTCGGGCAAAGGGGATGTCGGTGAGGTAGAAAGACCGAAGGCTCCTCTCACAGGAGAGCAGCTAGCAGGCGTGGGGAGCGCTCCAGAGTCAAAGCTGCATGTGACCTGTCTGTCCTTCCCACTGCAGTCATAGGACCTGGTTCCCTCCAGGAACCAGCTCCGCACTGTGAGACCAGAACAGCCATCTTCCTGAGGTTCATCTAGGAGTCAGCTGCTTCCTCCTCCACTGGCTCTGAACTTGGACCCTTGTGCAAGCTCTTTTTCCACTGAGCCTTGGGTCGTCAGCCCGGCGCCTTTTTTCTTGTCTTTTTTTTTTTTCTTGAGACTTGCAATGGGATGGGGGATACAAGGCCTAATAGAGTAGCAGGAGAGGGGTGGGTTTAGCCTCAGGCAGCCTGTTCTGAACCGCAGCTCAGCCCTTGGGTCTCTTGTTTAGCTCTGACAGTGACTTCGTGTAGTTGAATCTGGGCTGTCTTTTCTGCAAGGTAAAAGCTGTGGTCTTGGTCCTGCGTGGTTGCTGGGACACTAGCATGGGACGATCACTCTATGAAGTACCTCACATGACAATGGGGCCCACACTAGACTGTGGGAAGGGTTGTTCTCTTACTGTTTTATCTATTACTGCCAGTGTGAACAATGCCCTCAAGGTGGCCTCTCTCAAAGGAGTCATTTACTGGGCTGGAGACTGAGAGACTTCTCACTCCTCATTCTGTTCTGACAAGGATACATGGCTGGGGTGTCTGACCCTTTAAACTCTGAAGCTTGTAGCTCTCTGTAGATCCCTCTGTTTGGGTCCTACAGAGGGGCCAGGCTTCCAAGGCAGCCATCCCTACACAGTGTCCCAGCAAGGCTGAGTCTGTGGCTGTGTCTTTCTGAGTCTCTTACACTGCAACGAACACCAAGTGTAGGGGAGAGCCATATTCCCCCAAGGCTGCTAGAGACCAGAGCTACCCAGAGGAGATACACTCATTCCCATCTTCAGAAGGCTGAGTGTGCGGAGATGACCCAGGTTCTGGCTGTGGCCAAGCACAGCCCATGTGCCCATGGCCTTCCCTGCAGCCTCCGTCTGGACGGGGTGACCAGAGCGCATCAGCTGTGCTCACGCTACATCTGCCCATGGTCAGTGGAGTCATGTTTGCCCAAGGGCATTCAGATCACCCGTGTGTCCTCAGCCCAATTGAAACGACAGAACGCCCACATGCCTGGGCAGAGGTCACTGCTGTCCACTGCACACGGATGTCTCTGCGGGGATTGGTGTGGAAGCCAGGGAAGCTGGGGCAGCAAGAAGGGAGTCAAATCACTTCCTATGCGGAGACTGGGAGACCCCCCCTCACCCAATCAGCAGACATGAGGCTTTGGAACCCAATAACGAATATGACTATGGTCACTCCTGAGGACAGCTATGTCTCCCTTCTGGCCATCATGGCCTCAGCCCTGAGCAACCACGGCAGGATCTTCCTCCCAGCAGTGGATGGACACAGGAAACAATAGCACTTAGTTCTGGAAAAGGAGCAAGGCACAGTCTACACAAGTCAGAGGTGAACCATTCTAACCGTGACCTCAAATATCCCAAAATAACTGTGCAAAGCAGTGAAGCACAGAGGACTGGGGTGGATGAGGACACTGGTGCTAGGTGCTGTTTTGAAAGCTCGCTGCACACAAACTCACCTAATCCTTATCATAGAGTATTGTTATGACCATCTTACAGACAGGGAAACTGAGGCTCAATAACGCAAGCTTGTAAAGTGAGAAGGAAGTACAGCGGCTTGGGTTTAGGTGATGTGGGAGTCCCCTCTGTATGCGGTGACTACCATTGGTTCATAAAGAAACTGGCTTGGCCTGGTAGAGTAGAACAGAGATAGGTGGGTGGGGGGAACTAAACACTAAACTGAATGCTGGGAGAAAGGAGGCAGAGTCAGAGAGAAGCCATGGAGCCAGCCGGAGAGACAGACACGCTGAAACTTTGCTGGTAGGCCATGACCTCGTGGTGATGCACCGATTAATAGAAATGGGTTAAATTAAGATGTAAGATTTAGCTAATAAGAAGCTAGAGCTAATGGGCCAAGCAGTGATTTAGATAATACAGTTTCTGTGTGGTTATTTCTGGAGTCTGGGTGGCCTGGAAATGAATAAGCAGCCCGCTACAATGTTTAGGGGCTTACAGTCTGTGTTCCCTGTGCACAATCTTGACACAAAGATAAATATGTGGGCTGCAAAGCCAAGGACAGAATCTAAGCTGGACAGAGGGGTACTTGCCTATAATCCCAGTACTTTGGGAAGTGGAGGCTTGAGGATCAGAAGTTCATCACTCTTGAAGTCAAGGCTAGCCTGGGCTATGGGAGACTCTGCCTCAAACATAAAGGAGTTGAGCTGGGAAGCTTCTCAGCCCAGGACAGAGTTGCACAGGGAGTTTCTTCCCAGTGGAGAAAAGTCAGCTTCCTGTGTTGTCTCCTTCCTAACGCCTCTTTCCTACGAGAGAGCCAGCCCTCGCTCCTGCTCCACAGAACCCAGTCTCACAAGGTTCTGGGAAACAGAGTCTGCCCCTTTGCCCCCTGACTGCATCCCTGGCCCTAGAGCCAAGTCTCACAAGGTTCTGGAAAACAGAGTCTGCCCCCTGTGCCCCCTGACTGCATCCCCAGCCCTATTGTGCAAGCTTCTATTTCAGCGAGTGTGGAGGTCGCTCTCGCGGTCATGGTTTTTTTAACTGCAAAGGAAAAGGAAACCCATGTCAGAGAGAGGGCATCTTGCCAACCCTACATTCACGTGGCGGGGGGAGGGGGGGACCTTGAATGTGAACTGGGCGCTTGGAAGAAGTCGGGTGCTCGGGGAGGGCAGGGTGGTTTCTGTGAAGGCTGCAATGTGGCAGGGTTGGGACAGCCCCAAGACAACCTGGGGAAAGTGGGGGGTGAGAGACTGTGGAGGTGCAGAGTAAAGGTCGGGGTAGGGGGGCAGGGGAAACAAGAGCCACAGAGAAAGATGCTGGCCCCAGAGAAGAGCCAGGAGACCAAATGGTGTCTAGGTGCCAGCTTCTGAGGCCAGAGAGGTCCTGAGAACATACTGGGCACACCCGCAGGAGTCCACCCTCCAGGCCATTTTTTCTCTTGCTGAGCATCTTGACTTGAAAAGACCTTGAAGCAGGACAGAAACTTAGAACCTAGTGGCCGCCAACGACTCACCTAGCTGGCATTAGGGGGAAGCCTGGGGTAGGGGAAGAAGACAGGAAGAGTCTTTTTGGTGTTCTCCTGTGGCACCCATGCTGGCACCACGAGCGCATGCTTCCTCACGGAGAAACGTGGCATGCCCACTCATCAGCACTGTGGGTCCAGCCCGAGGACCAACCGTTTGGACGAATATCACATTATCAGGAAGGAGGAAGGACTCTCGGCAGAACAGAGAGATCTTGGGGCTGGAGAAGCTGGGCCAGGGGACAGATCAGAGGTTATCTGCCCAAGCAGCAGGAAGTATAGGCAGTGGGGCCTCCCACGCCACAGTGTGCCGTGGAACTCTTCCTAATGAGGTCACCATCAGGTCGTTTCCTACAATCAGCCCCTGAGATCACAGCCCCGCAGGGCAATCCCTGAGCCAGCCTGGGAACCATGAACCGGTGGGAAGTAAGGAGTCTTGCCCTAGCCATCACTCAGCCCAGTTCAGCACCCATTCAATCCACAACCACCAGCCACAGCCAGAGCCCTGCCGCCAGAGCCCTGCAGCCGTGTGGCTGAGAGCAGCAGTGTTTCCACGCCGGTGACAGCTCACCAGGTTGTGCACGGCTACACACTTTGATGGCCTCTGGCCTCAGACTGTGTCCCACTGTCCCTGCCCTCAACCACAGGAGCCAGCTCTTCCTCCGGTGTCAGCAGGCTCATGGAGGCTTGAACTCAGCCATGGCTAGGAAGCTGATGCCAGGCGTTGCTCAGTCAGGGTCCTGTCTCTCTCTCCCATCCCTGCCCCACTGCTTCCTCCCCATCACGGTGACCAAACTGTTACCAAGGGACCTTGTGCCACACAGTCACCGGAAGCCGCTTTTTCCATGGTGACATGACACCTGGATGTACTTCCGTTCCTCCAAAGGCTGCCGTGGGACACCTGGCAAACTGGGGCTCCCATTCTTGGTGTCTTGAGGCTGAGTCCTAGAACGGAATCCTGACTATGCCACTTCAGTCTCTTGTCCTCTTAGGACAGACAGACGACTTCAGATCTGAATGGGAACACAAAGTCCTTCATCCTCATGACGGGACTGGGGCCTTGAGTGACTCCCTTCCTGTATTAGTGCCTGGATTCTCCGTTTATCAAATAGGCTCAGTGAAACGCATGGGGCTCGAAGGCATTCTGGGTGTGAAGATGCTTTGAAACTCCCAGCTCTGTGAGTCTCTCCCAGTGCCACTTGTCCCACACAGCGGCAGAGGGAGGACCGAGGTGGCTTACCTGTTTACAGTCACACGACCCTGAACTTTTGTCTTACTTGGTACTTTGTAGTGCTCCCGGGACACACTGTCCACTAGTGACCTTTTGGCCTCTGAACGTGCGTTCCCATGCAGACCCAAATCCATGGCTGTCCTGAACCCAAGGGCATACCAGAGATCCAGCGGGGAGGCCAGAGCGGCCTGTGGGAAGCAGCCTGCATCCAGACAGCCCCATTAGACACTCCTAGCCTGTAATTTGGAGCCTGAAAAACATTAGCTGGAACTTAAAATAAGTTGGACCTTGTCCCCTGGACATTTCAAAGTCAACTGAAATGGTAACCCAGGGTTTAGCCCAGATTGTGTGGGTGTGTTTAGAAACTGGTGGCTTGAAGTCCTCTGGTGGTGCTTGGGGGTCCTGTGATGCCAGGCTCTGTTGGGGTAATCCTAGCTGCTTGACATTTCTGGTAAGTTTTTGTTGTTTGTTTTTTTGTGTGCACGACTGTGCGTGCATGAGTGTGTGTGTGTGTGTGTGTGTGTGTGAGAGAGAGAGAGAGAGAGAGAGAGAGAGAGAGAGAGAGAGAGAGAGAGAGAGAGACAAGAGAATGGACCCAGGGCCTTTAGGCAATACTGTGCCTCTAAGCCACTGAGCCACACATCACCAGTCCTTTTCTTACTGTGTGTGTGTGTGTGCATGTGTGTGTGTATGTGTGTGCGTGTGGTCTAGAGGATGGACCTAGGGCCTTTGGGCAATGCTGTACCACTGAGTCACATCCACAGTCCTTTTCTTACTTCTTACTTAAAGCCTCGAGTCTCTATTTCCAGACGGGCCTCAAGCTCACTCTGGAGCCTAGGCAGACTTTGGACTTGCAATCTCCAGCCTCAGTCTCCCAAGTCGCTTGACACTGACCTGTGCCACCAGGCCTGGCTAGGTGAGAGCGTTAAGAAAACAAAGCCCTTTTGTCTCTCGAGATGTTGGCTGCTGCCCAAGTCCCCAAGTGACCCCTCACTAAAGCCACTGTCTTGATTCAGGCTCATGCCATGCTGGCACAGCGTGTGGGAGCTCCTGCTCGTCCAGTTGCGAAGTGGGAATAGTGTTCCCCCTGGCAGGGGCTTGTGGGGATTACACGAGGTAACACCCAGTGGAGAGAGCTTAGCAGAAGCAAGCCCAGAAGCAGCGTCTGCCACTGCTGCCTCCCAGATTCCTTGGGACCCCGAGGAAGAATCCAGATGGGCTCTCAGATCTGGAAAGTTAAAGAAAAGGAGTTGGACAGTACGGGGCTCGCCTCTGAGTTTGTTGCCCAGCGGCAAGTAAGCTTCTTCCCAGAGGCGCCACATCTGCCCTGCACATGACAGGCCTGCGACGCCAGCAGCTGCCAACTTGAACTGAGCCCGTTTCGGATGGGGCTCCAGCAATGCCAGCGCAGGCCAGAAAGTCGCATGGGAGTACTAATTAGGTCAGTGGATTTCCCAGGAGCTAGAGGTTAGGGTCACAAGATTTGTGTGTGTGTGTATGTATATGTGTCTGTGTTGTATGTATGTGTGTCTGTCTATATATGAATCTGTATCTGTGTGTGCTGTGTGTTTATGTGTCTTCGTGTGTGTGTATATGTCTGTCTGTGTGTCTGTGTCTGTGTGTGAGTGTATATGTCTCTGTGTGTAGGAAGCTATGTATACATCTTTTTCTGTCTTGAGTTCTTGAAGTGTAGACAATGCAAAGAGTTGCAGAAAGTGATCCCGAAAGCATCTCTCCCGTACTGAATTCTCTGCACTTCTAGAGATCCTGTGGAGCTAACAAGGCTTCCAGAAGATTCTGAACCACTAATGGCAGGCCTGCGAATGCAGCTCAGAGGGTGGAGTGTTTATCTAGCATGCAGAAAGTCCTAGGTTTAAGTCCCGGCACCATCTGCACCATATGGTGACACACACATGTGATCCCAGGTCATTCTTGACTACACAGCACAGGAGACTACACCTCAAAAAAAAAAAAAAAAAAAAAAGGATGCTAAAGGCCAATACAATGAACCCATTCATTCCTTCAAGCATCTATTCCGGAAGGCACCCAAGAGTTCGATATAGCCCTGGCTCTTCCATTCAATGACTTGTCTCAAAAACAGAGTGTGTGCTCCCGATGAGACAGAGGGGTTCATAGGAGGCAGGCGCGATGTCAGGGCAGACTGCAGAGCCGCGTGTGCTGGGCTCTGTGCTGGAGTCAGCCTTCGTGAAAGTGCGGGGCCCTGGCCTCTGCTCCCTGACCCTTGGAGGGAGGCAGCTCACCCCAGTGTCCATCCACAGCAGCCCCACAGCCCTGGGGACTGAATCTGGGCATGACTTCCTTGCTGCAGGCATCTTACAGCTGCCCATAGGCCGGGAGGAAGGACAAGGAGGCGTTTCAACGAGACAGCTCCTCAAATGCAGAGGAGTCCAGGCTACAGACGAAGGACACTTGCTCAGGCAAGAAACATTTGGGGTTTGGTGAATTCTAAAGCATGGTCCCAAACGCCAGTGGCTTCTACCCTCTCCTACACAGTAGATCCAGGGGGCCAGGGAACAAGGACAGTTCCCTCGATCGCACGGACACTTGCCTGGAGTCCACCCTATGAGGACTCAGCTCGGCACCCGACCTGTTAGCAATGGTTAAGCATCACCCAATAGGCCCTCAGCTCAGTACCCCTTCTGCCAACACTCAGTTCAGCAGCTAGGCTATCAGCACTTGGTTCAGAATACATGCTGTCTCACTCAGTTCATGCTAGAGGTACGAAATCTTTGAATGTGTTCACTCATGAGTGTGAGTATGTGTGCTTGTGTGTTTGTGTATGTGTGCAATGTGTATATGTATGTGCATGAGTGTGTATGTGTGTAGTGTGTATATGTGTGGTATTTATGCGTATATATATGTACGTGTGTACTATTGTATGTGTGTATATATGTGTGCATATGTATGTGTGTCTCAGCGTGCTGTTTACATGTATATGTGCATATATGTGCATGTGTGTGTCTGCATGAGTATGTACATATATGTATGTATATGTGTGTATGAGTGCATGTGTTTGTATGTGTACGTGCATATGTGTGTATATATGTGTGTAGTATGTGTGTTTGTGTGTATATGTGCATGTGTGCATATATATGTGTGTGTGGTGTGTGTGTATGTGTATGTGGTGTATGTGTTTGTGTGGTGTGTGTATGTGTGTGTGAATATGTGTGTGCTTGTACCATGCTAGGCCTCATGCTACAGCACACAGCTCAGCACCCACCCTAGCAAAATTCAGTTCAGCCCTCATCACTTTGCATTTCCTCTTGCCATACACACACACATCACCTAAACATGGACACACATACACATACCATTCACTCATCCATACACATGCATACCACTTACACACACACACACACACACACACACACACACACGTTTCCCAGCAATCAGCACAATAGATCCCTTACAAGGCATAGAAGGCTCCTTACCTAGGCCTTCTGGAAACTTCTGTCACTAGCAGACCACTGGAGGCCATGGTGGCATAATCAGCTAATGCTAGGACCCCTCCCCGCCCACTCTGCAGTAGAAAGCCCTAATAGACCACTCTTGACTGCTTTCCACGCAAACATTCCTCAGCTTGTGGTACCCAGAGAAGTCTAAGCCAAAAGGCCTTTGCCTGTATCCTTCTGCTCCAGCCCCTTGCCCTTCCTGTAACCCAGCCATAACCACATGATAGACAGGCTCCACGGAGACCCGTTTGTACCTGCTGTGGGTTACAGCTGGATGAGGGACCCCCTCCTCATTCTGAAGGGGTTTCACCAGGCAGATGGGATGAGAGGTTCTGATGCAAGCTTGTCAGGCTAAGGAGACATGGCCAAGGTCTCCTCAGGAGGGCCTGCATCTCGCTCCAAGGGCGCTCTGGAGGTCTGGCTAAGACTGGTAGAAGTAATCCTAGGGCTTCCAGTGTAGGCTCACGCTGTGTGGTCCCTAAGCCTTTGGATCAGGAGGGAAGTCCTGGGCCAAGGTTCCAGCCGCAATCAGGGGGCCCAAGTGGGGAATCTCTTGTGGAGATGAGAAAACTTACATAAACATCAGTGGCTGTTTGTGCTCACCTTTGCATATTCATAAGGTTTTCTGGGTACCGGCTGGAGGTTTTACAAAATTTCACACCTACCTCTGTGCTTGGCATCTAGTAGGACCTCAGTAAGTGTGGCCTGGGAATTCCCACTGCGTGCAGTGTTAGGCCCAGCCGTGCCTTCTGAACCAGAATCCTGGGACTCCATGTGTTCTGCAGAGGAAGCTTGATTTCCCTTCACCTGAAACCCGGTCATCTCTTACTCATTGCTGATGACATCAAAGTGTGAGCCGTTCCAAGCCTCAACAGCTTTCCTGTGACTGAGCGTGGAGGTCACTGATAATGAATCTGCCTCTGGTCCCTCAGCCCACACAGGCTGCACCCTCCCCAGGCTGTTCTGAGCATCACAGTATGCTCCATCTAATTGTCCCTAGAATGTCCTGTCTCCCCCCAGGGAGGATGTCATTCTGTGGACTTGCAGGAAAAAGCATGGAGACATGAGGTGAGCTGATTTAAGTCCACCGCATGACCATGGGGCTGGGGAGGTGGCTCAGTCATCAAAGTGCCTGCCGAGTAAGCATGGGGTCCTGTGTTTGGACCCCCAACACCCACGTAAAAGCCGGACATGGGGGTGAGCATCTGTAAACTTGAGGCTGAGGAAATAGAGACAGGAGGATGAGTGAGTTCCAGGCCAACGATCTTTGCCCCCCCCCCCCTCTCTCTCTCTCTCTCTCTCTCTCTCTCTCTCTCTTTGTGTGTGTGTGTGTGTGTGCCTGCTAATCACTAATTAGGAAATCACTAATTAGGAAAATGCTCTAGTCTACATACTTGCCTGCAGTCAGATCACATGGGGGCATTTTCTCAATTGAAGCGCCCTCTTCTCAGTTACTGTAGACTGTGTCAAGTTGACGTAAAACTAACCATCACACTGATTGATGCAGGTGCTAGTTGAACACTAAATTCAGCTGGATGGTTTGGGTTTTCAAGAAGCCAAAGAAAAGTGTGAGATGTGGCCAGGCTTAGCATTTGTAATGGCAGAAGGTTGGGCCCTTGGGAAACCTCAAGGAGATTCCTCGGAAGAGAACAAAGGACGAGACACACTAGCAAGGATGTGGGGGGGGGGGCACGTATTCACTCCTGATGAGAGTGTGAACAGGCGCAGCCACTACGGCTATCAGTGTGAAGACGGCTCGAAAAGCTACCACTGCCATATGACCGAACATTAGCACTCCTGGGCACATGCACACACAGAAGTTACACACCAGCAGAAAACCGGCCTTGGTGTGCATGCGCAGAGGAGTGCAGAAGGAAAAGGTGGCACATCCACAGAATCCTGTTTCATCAGTCACTGAGAAAAATGAAGTCATGACATCTGCAGGGAAACGGATGGAATGGGAAGCACTGGGTGAAGTGAAATGGTCAGACTCAGAAAGATAAATACCATGTTTCCTCTCATAGGAGGATCCTTGATACTGATTTTGTCACACAGACACACATAGACACACAGACACACAGATTAAAGACAGACACACACACAGAGACACACATAGACACAGACACAGAGACACACATAGACTCACAGACACACATAGACACAGACAAACAGAGATAAGACAGACACACATAGACACAGACAGACACACACACATAGACTCACAGACACACATAGACACAGACAGAGATAAGACAGACACACATAGACACAGACACACATAGACACACAGACACACATAGACATAGACACACAGAGATAGACAGACACACAGACACACATAGACACAGACACGCAAAGATACAAACATACACATAGACACAGACACACAGAAATACAGACAGACACACAGACACACATAGAAGCAGGGGGGACTATTGAAAGGAACAAGGTGGGGGACACAGGAAGATGTGGGGAGTGGAATGCAAGAGAGACGAACAAGGGCGTAGTACATAGGATAATGCCATTCAGAACCACGGCTCTATGCTAATTTTAGAATGTTCCTTGGGACCCGGGGTGTGGGGGCAGCTAGCTCCCTTGGGGACCAGAGTCTGCAGAGGTGGAAGCCTTAGCTCAGAGAGGCAGAGAGAGTCTGTCTCTCACTCCGTTTCCTGGTTGGTTTCTCACCTCTGATTCCACACCAGGGGAAGATAAATCCGGGAGAGAAGGCCCAGGCACTCTCTGAACAACCATCAGGAAGTAGGTGGCTCCAAAAGAAATTGGACATTTGGGGGCTGGCCCACTTAAAGTAGACGCTGGATAAATGGTAATACCAAACGAAAAGGGACTAACAAGCATGGGGACAATAGTAGACAAGAGGTTCGGGCATTTGGGTAAGGCTTTATCAGTGACCCTTCTTCTAACATAGTGGCCCCACCTGCTGCTGCAACTGCAGAGCCTCTGGGCTGTGGACTCATCCTACATCCTGACTCCAGGGCCTCTCCCTGGCGAGAAAGACTAACTGGCTTGTCTTAGATTCTCCTGCTACCAAGGAAACTAGGCAATGTGGACAAGGTGTGTGTGTGTGTGCGCGCACACGTGCACACACACATATGTACAAATGCCGTAGTTGTTGTGGGGTATCATCCTTCTTGTTCTTGAGACCAGGTCTCCCACTGGCCTGTGCCTCACGAATCCAGCTAGGCTGCCTGGCTATCGAGCTCCAGGGATCTGCCTGTCTCCTCCTCCCCATCATTGGAACTAGACTCATGTACCAGCATGGGAATCTGAACTAGGGTCTTCATGCTAGTATGACAACTACTTTAGGGACCAAGGTTTCTCCCCAGGACTAAGACACCCTTAAGGGCATTTTTTACAAAGCAACCCCCCCAAAACTGCAAGTGTAATGAAAACCTGAGGAGCAGGGGTTTTGGAGGCCAGTAACAACAGGGAGGAGTCTCAGCCTCCTTTACCTTGGCACTCACTGGGTCCTGAGAAGCTGAGCAGCTTCCAGAAGTCTGATATATCTAGAAGGACAGGAAAGGAATGCAGGATTTGACAAGGACAAAGAGCTTGACCACCTCCAGCATTCTGTTAGAGCGACCACAGAGGAATGACCCAGAAGGAGTCCAGTAGACCATCGGAGCCATGTTCATGTCAAGCCCAAGCTTCTTGGTGCGGGGCTGAGGCTGTGCGCGCCAGGCGGGCACTCTCCCTTGCTATCCCCTGGTCCTAAGAAGCGTCTGTGGAGAGTTGTGTCCTTGAGTGGGTGAAGGTGATGTGAAATTAAGCATTCTATTTAGACAACCCATGAGTCAAAGTAGAAGTCACAATGGAAATTAGGAAATGCCTTAATGAAAAGATAATAAAACCAAAACATATCCAATCTTCAAGGATTCAGCCAAAGCTTGCTTAAGAGAAATTTATAGCCGCACATGCGTCAGAGGAGGATAGGAAGGAGGAGGAAATAATGAGCTGAGCCTTCGAGGGAGAGCTTAATGAAAAGCAGGAAAGGGAGCCTAAGAAGGGGATTAGCAGCAGCAGGAGGAGCTGGGGTGGAGAGTGAGAGAAACGGAGAAAACGACAAAGCCGGTTATTCTTTCTCAAAGATTCATAATGCAGAGACGCTGTCCTGACTGATTTTGCTTTAAAGGACAGAACATGGTAATCAATATCAGGAACAAGAAAGCTACGGCTGTTAAACATGAGTCAATATTCTGGGCCATAAGGACAATGAATTTTACATTTTAGTTGAGAAAGAAATTCTTTCACAAACTCAGCTTATTAAACTCGCCCCATCTGTGGAGACATATATCTATTAAGAGACAAAAGTTGTAATGAAGAACATTTCCGCAATGAATACTCCAGGCCCAGTGGCTGATTCTTCCAGACATAAATCTTGCACAGTCTTTCAGGGAGTGGAAATCACTGAACTCATCTTTGAGCTGTAGTTACATCAAAATGTGGCAAAGGAAAAAAGGGCTAGAGACTTTCACCTCGCGTGGACACCAGCACGAGGTGAAATAGGACACACAGATCCTGACTCTGTAGAGAGGACAAACACATCGCAGCCAACGTGGAAGTCCATCCTAGGATGGCGCTCTGAAATCAACCAGCGTGGTGAACGGTGGGGATGGAGACTAGGGCGGCTGGTCAGCTCTGGAGATCCGGAACAAGCTCCTGCTGAGACTCAAACACTAACAACAGTAAAACCGGAGAGGAAGCCAGGGATAGAACGAAACAGATTAGATGCATTTAGTAACTGCAGGCCTCCAGCAAACGTCAGACTGACTGTTCAATACTGATATGCTTCCATAGCATTTGAGATTAAGGTGGGAGGCTATCTGTCTCCACCTCTGTTGTTAGTTATTATACTAACGATTTTAGCCTTTCCAATAAAGCAGGAAAAAAATTAAGATATGAAAAGAAAGATAAAATTGTGGTTATTTATATACTACATCATTGGCTATGTAAGAAAAACACACAAAAATACATTTCACAAAAGTATCAGAACTAATAAATAAATTAAACGAGGGTAGTTGGGCAAAAAAAATTTTAATATGTAAATGCCAATTGATGCAACAGAAGCAAAAAAACAGAATCCAAAAAGAAAATATTGATAAAATATATTAATATAACACTTGTTCCTGCCTTTTATCAAAAGAGACAGTGATGGGTGAAAGGAAAAGCCACGAACAAGATAAGAACAACATAGACCCAATGAATGTCTCAGATGCAAAAAAGTAATCAGCTTCTATAAGGCACCAAACCAAGAAGGACAGACAATATGTAGAAAAATGGCAAAATGAGCTGGAGGCATAGTTCAGTGAGAGAGCTCACCCAACAGGCTCAAAGCCCTGGGCTTGGTTCCAAGCAACATGTGTGCATGCACGCACGCACGCGCACACACACACACACACACACACACACATGCTTTCATGAAGCTGAGTAGACATTTGAAAGATACTTCTGGTGGTTAGTGTTCGTTGTTAACTTGACACAGCCTAGAAAGTCTGCGATTTTTTGCATATCTGTGGACCATCCTCGTGATTAAGTTAATTGACGTGGGAAGACTCAGCCCACGGCGAGCGGTTCCATTCCCTAGGGAAGGTGAGCACAAGCAAGCTCGAGTGAGCCTGTACGCATTTGTTCCCCTCTGCCCTTGATGTGGACTGGATGGGATTAGCGGGAGGTCCTGTCTGGACTTCCCCACAACGACGGACTGTGACCTGGAACTGTAAACTGAAATAAACCCCCTTTCCTCTAAGCTGCTTTTTATCAGAGTATTTTATCATGACAACAGGCATGGAATTAGAATAGCCTTTACCCTCCAGAAACATCAGAGAGACAGAGTCAAGCATACACTCAAAATGGCAAAAGAGGCACAGTGCTGGTGAGAACGCATATTCCAAGACCCCCGTAACTGCTCAATGGCTGAGAACCCATAGAGCAAATCCATAAAACTGTGTCTCAGTATGCACTGCGCTGGGGGCGTGCATGCTCTGACTCAGGGCTGCCCCTCCTTGATATGCACCATGCAGACAACGCCACACCAAAAGACAGGCACAAGAAGTCTCTAAGAGCCCCTTTTGATTAAGACCAAATCTAAGTATATCCAAATGACCAGCAATAGAAACGTGTCTAAATAAATTGATATATTCGCATCTTGCATTTTTTACAACATTAGAAAAATGAATGAACTGGGCTGAGGAGAAAGCTCCGTAGGTAAAGCACTGGATACACAGCAAGAGAAGCTGTCTGGATCCCCAGGATGCGTGAGTTGACAGCCGGCCGGCGGCCCAGGACTGTGGCCCCAGGGCTCCTACAGCGAGACGAGAGGCGGAGACAAGTAGCCTGGCATTCACAGCAGAGGGTAAGAAAGAGACGCTGTCTCATACAAGGTGAGGACCACTACCGGAGGCTGTCCTCTGACTGCCCATGTGTGCTATGGCGTGCACACGCTCATATCACAGATGTATAGATTAAGTCAGCCAATGGAAGCATGTGCATGCTTGTGTCTGTGGAGGCCAGAACTCAGCGCTGGGTATCGTTCCTCAGGCATTGTTCACACTGCTTTGTCTGCTTGATTGGTTGCTGCTTCAGATTTATTTTATTTTACATTGTGAGTGTTTTGCCAGCTTGTGTACAGAAGGCATCAGATCCTCTGAAACTGGAATTACAGGTGGCTGTGAACCACTATACGGGTGCTGGGAACCAAACTTGCATACTCTTAAAAAAAAATAAATAAAACAAACAAAGCAACTGCTATTAACCACTGAGTGATTCTCCCAACCCTTCTCTGTCTCTCTAGCCCCACACCTTGTTTATCGAGATGGGATCTCTCACCACGTGGAGCTCATCAGATAGGCTGGTTGGCCGGTGAATCGCAGCGAGCTTCCTTTCACAGCTCTACTGCCTCCCCAGTGCGGGGACGCCAGCACACGGCTCTTTATATAAGCTCTAGGGGCCTGCGTCCTGTGAGTACTAGGCTGAGGTTCTATGCGGAGGAGCCGAGCCAAGGGTGGAGGCCATGCGCTGCTAGGAGAGCTCTCCAGAGCTCCGCTGACCCTCTGCTCCAACTGCTCCTGCCCGGAAAGAAGGGTTGTTGGCCATCACACAGCTTTCTCTTCCTTCTGTCTGGTGCTGGGTTGGTCCTGCCAGGGAGCAGAATTTGGTGACAGCTTTTGGGTCTGGTTTGCCAGCAAGGACGTTTGGCTGGGTGTAGGGTTTCCATGGCGCGGACGGCCCACAGCCTTGCATTTCTTCTGGGTTTTGGTGATCTCGCCGCATTGCCCAAATGGCCTTCAGCATGGGACGGTCCTACAAGTGAGGAGCTGTGTGTGCCACACTGAGAATGGCGACTTCGTGGGTGCTCAGCCTTTGCAGTGATTCTAGGTCATCTTCATCTCCATGCAAGGAGACAGCGAGCCCCTCGTGGCCTCCAGGCATTCACAGTCTCAAGCAGGTAAGGCTCGCATGCATGGTTCATTGGCCTGTCTCATTCATACCAACCAGGCTTCTTGGAAATGGATCTGAAAAATCCACCCTGGAGCCATTAAGTGAGGGATGAGAGGAAGGCTGGAGGACCCAGCTTAGGGTGTAAGAGACTCAGGAAGGTGAAAATCCCCTCGGCACCATTGGTCACAGCTGTGTCTGCTGAACCATCTCTGCATCCAGACCACCATTCTCAATCCACAGCTCATGGCCGTTGCTTGATTGGCATTCACTGGGTAGACCATTTATGAGAAGCCCCATTGGTTCCTGAGTGGAAGGAAAGATGAAACCCCCTGCCTTCGTGAAGCTGACATCCTGTGGTATCCCCACCCCAGGGCCATGAAAGCTTGGGTTTCTCTTGTTCTGGCTGCTTCATGGCTCAAAGTGATGTCCTTCGTTCAAAAATAAAGACAGTGACACTGGGCTATAAAAAAACAAACAAAACAAAAACAACAACAACAACAAAAAACCCAGCTTCCCTGGCAGAGTCTAGAAAAGGAATAGAGAGGGACTGGAGAGGTAACTTAGTAGGTAAGAGCCAAGCATAAGAATCCGAGTCTGGATCCAAGCACCCACATAAAAGCTGGGTGTCATAGCACACACCTGCAACCCCAGGGCCGTGGGAGGCAGAATCGGGGTTGCTCGGGCTTTTCTGGCTGTCATCTTCGCTCCGGGTTCATAGAGACCGTGTCTTAATGGAACACAGTGGAGACCTGGTAAGATCAGGACACTCACCATTGTCCTCTGGCCTCCACAGCCGTGTAACAGGCACACGGACGCACACATGCAACACTATGTATGTACAAATGTAGAAGGGATGAGGGGATCTCTCAGGTGGGATGGTCCTTCTTTCAGGCAGGGTAGCAATGGTTGGGGACATTGTTAGAAACTCAAGGAGGCCGGCATCTTTAGGAATAATCCTATCTGAAGGGACCTTCAGAGTGTCCTTTCCTTTGGATGTGGTGAAAAACTATTTGGGGAAAAGATACCAAGTGAGCCCAGAAGTATTCGTGTCTACCGTCTTGTTTCCTTGAGCCATGACTTTAAACTGAGCGTGCTCAGTGATGCCCATCTTAAAACGAGCATGCTCCAGAGTGAGCCTGCCCAGAGAACTTTCCATGGAGAATGTATGGACTCTCCAGATAAAACCTGTTCCTCCCTCACTCCCTTGTTACTGGGGGGCTTCGGAAATCACTCCCACGGCCTTCTTCCTTACCTGTGATATTAAATCTTTGTCCTCTCTCTTAGTTTTTGGTCATTTTTTTTCTGACCACTCTTTCCACTGTGCTCCGTCCCAGCATGGAGCAGCCATGTGTCCAGAGTAGGAAAGGTATGTCCCAGGGCTCCAGGAGAATACTGTGTTAGAAGAACATCCCACACTACAAACTGCCGAAAAGACCTAGGAAAACACACGCACCCTTGGAGAACTGGGAAGAAGTGTTTCATCCGTGGCTGCTTGGCGTCATGGTTTTGGAAGAGGAAATTTAAGGAGATACAAATGGCTGTTCATGTGTTTGTCCCTCCATCCAGAGTATCAGGGACAAGCCTCACCAGTCACAGAGGTGACTAGCCCTGCACTGAGGGATGGCAGCAAAGCTCTAGCCACCCAGAGCTGAAACCAGTGCGGCCGCAAGAGCAAGGCAAAGGGCACCGCCAGGAGAAGGGAGGTTTCGCCACATCATTGCGTCGTTCTGCTCTTCTGCAACGTGGAGAACGGCGATCTACAGAGTTAAACGCAAGTGGTTGCGGACGGCTGTTCTAATTTCCTTCCATTGCCGCGCTAAAACCCCAAGCAAGAGCAACTCGGGGAGGAAAGAGTTTATTTCAGCTTATACTTCATCACTGATGAAAGTCAGGGCAAGGACTCAAGCAGGAACTGAAGCAAAAGCCGTGGAGAAACACCGCGTGCTGGTTCCAGTCCAGGCCCCGGCTTAGCCAGCTGTCTCCGTCCAACCCAGGACTACCTGCCTGGAGAGCAGGCTGCCCACAAAGGGCTGGGCCTCTCAGATCAATTAGACATGGCCGCAGGCCAATCTGATCCAGGCAGTTTCTCAAAGGTCTGTCTTCTCGGATGACTCTAGGTTGTGACAAGTTGACCGGGCTAACAGGATGGTGGGGAACTGGAATGAGGACAGAGAAGGGCAGAAGACACGGGGAGACAGACTGGGTGCGCACAGGGACACAGATTGTGCTACCTTGGGTGAGTCTCTTACGTTCGCCGAGTCTATTTGATTGTCAATAAAATAAGGATGACTCTTGAGAGGTAAAGACGAATGAGGTACAGCGGGTGATAGTCATTTATAAAATGCCTTGTCAATAAAAAGAAGGAGATTTATTCTCCTTTAATTAATGGATATGACTAACATTATCCAAGCTGTTGTGAAGATGTTCACATATAACTGCACCCCACTGTCATAGTCCACTTGGGCACAGGCCCTGCTGGGTCCCCCAAAATAAGATGTGGCCAGACAGCCCTCCGATCTACACTCTCCCTAGGCCAGCACGGAGGTGATAAATCTTTTGTATCGACCCAGAAGAAGGCTTCGGCCACAAAGACCAATTCACTATCCGAATAAATCACAAATTGTCCCTGTGGCAAATTCCTCAGGCTACACAAGGCATCACAGTTCTTCGGATGGGAAGGGAAGAGCCTGGCTGGACCTGAGCCCAACTGTGTCCATCCGGCCTGGGAAAGGCGGAACACACCCCAGCTGACCACATGAAACAATCTCTATGAGACACAGATGTCTGGTGGGCGTGGTGCAGTTTAAAAGCTTTCTGTGTCTGCCCCACAGACTCCTTCATCCCCGGTCTATCTGGCTCAGGGGGCTGGAGGGAGGTGTTGTTGGGTGTCTGGGTAGCGGTGTGCGAGGGCTGAATTTCTCCTAGTGGTCGTTGTCTTCTGTGCCCGCTGAGTGCTGCCCGCTTAGCTATACTTCTTGTTTAAATTAAACTGAGTTAAAATGAGTTTTGGTTGGGGAATCCCAAAGCTCCCTCGTGAGAAAAAGTGGAAGCACTCAAGGGTGATATGAAATTGAGGGGGGCCATCACTGCACTGGAGTCCTGGGCTGGCGAGCTCAAGGTCAGGGGGTCAGTCCCTTCATGAAAGGAACCATTCATTTCACTCTGCCTTGTGGCCTCAGAAGCCACCCTTGACCTTGGCCATCTGCCTCCAAGAAGACCCTTCAGTCGCCAGCAGGACAAAGTGAGAGGGAAGGACCTGACTCACACAAACCCATCAACCCCATGAGAAAGACGACCCAGAATGTGACCCATGATAATGCACCAGCATCTTCAATTCTGCAGGTGAGAATTATCCCATTCACGTTAGCACACACACATGGAAATACAGACGGGACCAATGGATCAGATGTCCCGGAATCGGGGATCACTGAGGCCTGGGGTTTAGTTCCTGAGTTCAGCTAATGGATAGAGGAAGCTAAACGAGTGTGATTCACACCTGAGGGCCACGCAGTCAGTTTTTATCTAACCATAGAGGGGCACAGCTGGTGTGGATAGCTACAGCCAAAGATAACACAGAGGCCTGGAGAGATGACTCAGCAGTTAAAGCACCTGCTGCTGCTCTTGCAGAGGACCACGGTTTGGTTCCCAGGAGCCATAGCTGGACACTCACAACAGCCTGTAACTCTAGTTTTAGGGTATCTGATGCCCCCTCCTGGCCTCAGTGGGTGCCTGCAGACACATATTCTCTCTCTCTCTCTCTCTCTCTCTCTCTCTCTCTCTCTCTCTCTCTCTCTCTCTCTCTCTCTCTCTCACACACACACACACACACACACAAAATCCTCCTCCTCATCCCCACAAGGTGGAGAGTCAGAGCCCCGAAGAGTCAGCAAAGAAGCTATGGATTCTTCATTTTCCGAGCTTCAGATTTCTCTTCCAGACAGCTTTCCTGCCTCTGCATCCGTGAAGGCATCATCTCTTTGGAGATGGAAGTCTCTGAATCCTTGGAATAAATGCTCAAGCATCAGTGGGGAAAATCGTGTCATCTGGCTTTTCTGAGGGGCTCACTCCCAGAGCATGCTCCGATGGGTGGGGACTCCCTCTCTCTCCCCTCTCCAGCTTTGAGGACACCTATGCTTGGCCCATGACAGAGCCTGCAAGGGCCCACGTGAGGAATGGGTCTCTGCAAAACAAGTGTTTGGATGCCTGAGTCACCTGGGAATTTATCTACTGCTTCCAGCAAGCCTTTGTTATGCGTTGAGCAATGTATGCCATCTGCCTGGCCGACGGCTAGCAAGCCACATAGTCTGTCTTCATGTCCCTACAGTCTCGTGAGTTGGTCAAAGCTGCGAGACTGAATCAGTCACAACTCACAACAGTGCTATCAAAACCTCAAAGCAACATGGTTCAGCAGGGCGTGACAGTTCACACCTTCAATCCTGTCGCTCAGGAGGGGGAGGCAAGAAGATCACCCTGTGTGAAAAGCCAGCCTGGTGTACGTTCAAGTTTCAGGCTAGCTAGGACTATAGAGCAAGATTTTGTCCTTCTGTCTCCGCCCTTCCCAACAATACGGTTCGGATAAGATGGGATTTTATTGTTCCTTCACACAAAGTGGAGAGTGAGCAGCGGAGACGGGCGCGCCTTCCCTGTTCTGGCTCTGACGGCCTGAGTGTATGATCTCCATTCAGTTAGCCCATGCTCCTTCACTACCATCCACAGCCTAGCACGGAAAGGAGAAAAGCAGATAGGATACATGTCTGTTTGACTGGATTCAGAAACACTTGGGTTTGCTTAACTTGCCGTTCCCGAGACACCTGTGTCTCAGGACTGATACCAATGCGGCCCAGTTCATTGGTAGATGAAGACAACATGTCACCATGGCAAGGGGTTGGGCACCGCTGGGCCCTAGGGCAATATTGAGGCCCATCTTTGAATGTATCTGTGAGTTTGCTTCCAGAGAAGATTAAATGAGGGGGAAGACCCACCCCGAGTGTGAACAGCACTGTCCCATGGGCTGAGGGCTCAGACTGAATAAAGAAGGCCTGTGGTTTCCTCACCATCACGGACCGTACGTACCCTTGTACCGTGAGCCAAACAAATCTTCCCTCCTTTAAATTGCATACTGCTGGGTATTTCAACCACGACATAAAAAAAGAAAACTAATACAGAGGGAAAGAAAGGTGTGGTTTGTATAACAGTTTCTGACTTGAAACTGTCACTCATGAGATCCAGGAAGACCTTCCTAAGATCATAGAAGCAACGAACCACTGCCGGGGGAGGGGATTCTGATCATCAAGGCTGCCTGAAGAAGATTCTCCAATCTCAGAGCTGCCTGCAAATCTCTCAGAGAGGCCCAAGGTTTAAGCATTTGTGAGTCACAAATCATGAGTCAAATCACCCCTGCTGGGGTGGGCTTTCATTGGGACAGCTGCTTTCAAGTCAGACATGCTCCCGAAAGTCACCCTCCACACACACCCCTGCTAGTGAGCCCAGTAAACTCACCGGTCCAACAAGTGGAATTTGGTATAATTGTTACTTTGTTCTCTCACCAATTGTGTGTGTGTGTGTGTGTGTGTGTGTGCGCGCGCGCGCGCGTGTACCCGCACACATGGTCTCTGCAGGGAAGGTCTTGCTCAACACATAGCTTCACCTCCATACAACCCATAACCCCACCTCTTGGAAGCCATGCTGTTTCTTATGACCTGCCGAAACATAGGAAAAGGATTTTCCTGAGGGAGCCTTGCTGTCCTTTAAACATCGTGGATGAAGGTGGTATGATGGGGAGAATGAGGGAGGAGGCATCTCCAGTGAAGTGAGGGTGTCGCCAAAGCTCTAGCTCAAGCTGAACAGATGGGGAAGAGCCACAAATGCACAGGGGCAGGAGGTGAGGAAGGAGGAATGGCGTCAAAGCAGACTGCAATGCTGACCGTGGGGCCAGTGCGAGTGTGTTGCCCTTGGAAGGGAGGAAGGGGACAGGACAGGACTCAGAGGCAGACCAAACTCGATGAGCTCTTAAGGGCCTGTGTTCCAGGACGGTCCAAACTCAAAGTTCTAACAGGATGTCTGGTGTTGCCTCTCTCATCGCCTTGCCCACCGTTCTCACAGCTGTGTTGGTGCTGATGCTGACGGAGGAGCAGATGCTTCTCACCAGAGCAGCCCTGGATCCCCTTAGCGTCCTCCACTAAAGGAGCTCCCGAGGAAAGCACTTACATGGAGCATTTACAAGGAACATTCATAGGGAACACTCACAGAGGACCATTCATGGAGAGTACACACGGGGAGGACTCATGGGGAGCACCCATGGAGCCCTTGAGGGGAGAACTTACAGAGAGGACTTATGAAGGAGCTCAGATGAGGAGGACTCATGGGGCAAACTGGCCTGGACCACCCGTAGGGAGCACTCTTGGAGGGACACCCACAAGCATCCCTCACTGGCAGCAGCACCAGAGTGATCAAAGGTACCAACATGGCTTAGAGAAACCACTACGCTATGCTACTACATGGATGCTTTGGACAAGGCCATTCCTTAAAATTCTCATCCTGAAATCCTAGGTCCCGTGGAGCTAAGTTAGATCTCAGCCCCGGAGTTCCGCCAGGACATTCAACCCAGACATTACTCTGAAACGCCTCATCCTCCTTTCTCTTGTCCCCTCCCTCTCATCGCCTTTCTCTGGCTCTCCTAACTTCCATCTCTCTCTCTCCATGCCTGCATGCCCCTCCCTCCTCCTGTCTCCTCTGCATGCTCCCAAGCCGCCTCCTAAGCACCTCTGATTTAAGAGCCCAGTCTTCCGGTTTCTTTCCTGTGCACATGCCCATCCCTGCTCTGAGGCTGGCCAGCACGGCCTCCCTCTGGGTGCCCCCTTTTCTTCAGACTTTCAGGAGTGCACTGGACCATCTGCTTGGCCTGTCAGGTAGAATGTGTATGAAGGAGTCCATGTCCAGCCCCTTAGTCTGCGCATCCCTGGGATGGGCAGCTCCGTTTTCCCACTGGCGGCAGACATTGCTTTCCAACGCCCAACCTTGATCTGTTGGCAAATATTATTGACTGTATCTGCAAAAGAGATCCACACTTGACCCTGCTTCCACCCTGACCAGAGCCAACTTCTGCTTTCCCTGAATTGTTTCTCCAGTTCTGGGATCCACGTCCCTGCTGCCATCACATGCACTCCCCTCAGCCATGCAGCCAGGGGACGCTGCTAACGCTGGAAAAATGTCACATCTCCAAGTAAGAGATGGCTGCCACCTCCGCCGGAGGAAGACCAAGGGCTCAGGATGGCTTCTGTCTTAATCCCTGTCCTGTTGCTAGGGAGAGACATCATGACCAAGGCAACACTTAGAAAGAAAAGCATTTGATTGGGAGCCTTTTTACAGTTTCAGGAGCTTAGTCCATTGTCATCACGCCGGGGAACCTGGCAGCAGGCAGGCATGGTGCTGGAGAAGCAGTGAAGAGCATCATGCTGATCCGTAGGCAGAGAGAGAGAGAGAGAGAGAGAGAGAGAGAGAGAGAGAGAGAGAGAGAGAGAGAGAGAGAGAGAGAGAGAGAGAGACTGGCAAGGGCTTCTGAAACCTCAAAGCACACTCACCGCAATGACACATTTTTTCCAACAAGCTCACACCTCCTAATCCTTCTCAAATAGTGCCGCTCCCTGGTGAGCAAACATTCCAATGTACGAGCCATTCTTACGCAATCTCCACAACCTCCACGGCGCTGGTGACGTCCCTTACCTTCCTCCTCTGCCTGCTTCTCCTCCTCTTGGTTCCCTCCATCTCCAGCCACTGGCCAGGCCCGGGCCTGTCCCCAGAAGTCTGCTGGACTGGATCTCTTTTTTGCCTTCAGGCTTTGGCTAAGCATCTTGTCTGCAGGTATTGCCTGTCTCACCCAGAGGGGAGGTTCTAGGATTGCAGCCACATGTGCCAAGCACTGGTGCTCCCTCTCTGTTTACGGTCTGCTGTTGGAAATAGCTGTCCTCTGCCACCTGCTTCCTCCACCGTGATGTCAACTGCTCAGTCGCACCTCGCTGGGATGAATCTGTCTTCCAATGGTCTTTCCCCCACGGCCTCCACATGTACCGGTTCACGCTGCTTCCTGTCCTTTGGGTTCCATCTTACTTCCCTGAGTCTCTTCTCTCACCAGCTCAGCATGCTTATGAAACACACATAGGGTCCTCCCTGCGTGCCTCAGAGCACATAATGATGTCACTGATTGCAATGTCCCCTCCAAACGGTTGATTAGTCGTCTGATTCTGACGCCTGAGCTCACCCTTCTGGGTGAGGATGGACCTTCTACCCAATGCATGATAACGAAGACTGAGATGGGAGGGAGGGGACAGAGGGTCAAGGATTGTCAAGGAGCACTGGGTGGGGGCAGGAAGATGCTCCCCCAGCACTTTTGGAAGGGGCATGGTCCTGTGACAGACTGGATTCCCAGGCTCCAGAAAGATAGAGAATAAATACGTATTGTGATGTCATCCGGTTTGTGACAAATTCCTGCAGTAGGTTTGGGAAACCACGTGCAGCTTGAGAGAGACAGGCTTGCCTTCTGGGGTCTTCACAGCTCCCTAAAGACCCCAGGCCACACCTTGTACTGTTGCCGCCTTCCCTTCCGCTCAGGCTCAGAGTCCCACTCTAAGACTGGTTTGTCCCTGCTTCTTGGAAAGCAGCTTCAGGACTGATTCAAAAACAAAGAAACAAGCCGTGAGTCCTGCGCCCAGCCCATTTAAAGCAAACTGCCAGCTCCAACAACCAACCAGAAGCTGCTTGGGTCTTAGTGACCCCAGTAGAGCCTCCATGCACACACACAGGCTGTCAGCCGGCTGTGGCGATCCCCCAACACATGGCTAGAGTGTTCTACATGCTCACCCGGTGGCTGCCTCCCCAACACATTGTCCCAGATAGGAACAGAACTGCCCAGTGTCAGACTGTGGTGCCCAAGCCGCTTTGTGGTAAGGATTAGTATCTTGGCAAGTAGGCAGGATCCATTTGAACCTGAGGTGACTTCTATCCAGAAATCCCCAACCACTGATTCTACCTGGGCTGAGGCGTCTGCGGAGCCTTCCAGTACCTTTTCAGGGAAGCGGGCATACAGGGCACTGGGCATACAGAGTCCATGGAGAGCTGAGATCTGGGAATAGAGCAGAAGGCTGTGCCTGGCTGGGGCTCAGCAGGAGCCAGGCGATTCTTTTAGTTCATCATTGGAACGGTGTCTTCAGTGGCCTTGGAAGATTGGTAGCCTGGTACTTTGCTCACTCCTCTCCTCTCCTGTCCCCTTCCCTCCCCCTCTCCGTTATGCTCTTTCTTCTCTCCCTGTTGGGAGCTGTGAATCCCCCAGGTCCTGAATTTCTGGTAAACAACTTGTAATGCTTGCAGTTGCTCTGAGCACGAGACCCTCAGGAGTTCTTGATGGCAGGAGAGTGGTTTCTGGTGGGTTTGGCTGGGGCGTGGCTATTCCTATATAGGCTGCCCCTGGACACGATAAAGGGGGCATTTCCGTTTCAAGGATGACCCGTGTCTCTGTTTGTGTGTCTTTGTGTGTTTCAATCTCCAGCCCCTTGCCCGGCTCACAAACTGTATGGCAGTGTGTAGAGTGTAGACAGGCGTGGTGCACCACATCTCCCCTCCCTCCCCTTCCTTCCTTTCTTTTCCCTTTTCCCTCCTTTTCTTCCAGAAAAGATCTTTCTATACAGCCCAGGATAGCTTTGAACTTCCTTGGTACCCTCAGCTGGCCTCAAAGTTGAAATTCCCCTGTCTCAGCGCAAGTCCTGGAATTACAGATGTGTACTGCCATGTCTGTCTCACTTATCACACACACTGAACCCATTCTTCATGAACAGTCATCAAGGTAGGGAAGAAGGGATGGGTGGGCAAAAACAAATACCAGGCAGTGAGGGGAGGGGCTTGGGAAGTGGGCGGGGCCAGACCAGGCGGAGCTTTGCTCCACGCTTGGATTTTAAGAACATACTAAGGGAAATTACAAAGGGGGTTCAGTGGAGCGTGGAGGCGTATAGATAAGACACCTCTTCCCCCTCCTTTCTTCTTCCCCCCTCTTCTCCCTCTCATCTTCTAGCTTCCTTCCCCCTCCCCTCTCCATCTCTTCTTCTCTTCCTCCTCCTTTTGTGGGTGGGTGCACATGTGGGGGGCTGTACCTGTGCATGCATGTGCACGCATGTACACATATGTGTAGAGTCCAGAAGTAGACTTTAGATGTCTTCTCAATCTCTGTCCGCCTTATTTTCTGACACCGAAGTCCATGCTGGTTAGACAAACTGGCCAAGAAGACCCCAGGGCTCTGTCTCTCCTCCCAACTCAGCTCTGCGGTTATTGGCACACACCATAATGCCTGACTTCTACATGGATACTGGAAAGTAGCCTTCATGCTTACAAGCCAATCACTTTACCCACTGATCCACCTCCCCAGCCCCTCCATCCCTCCCTTTCCTCACTTCCTTCTCCCTTCCCCTCTTCTCTCTTCTTTTCCTACAAACCCCTACCCACACAGCTTGACAGAGAGCCGACTTCAGGTTGGGGGTGAGGTCTCATATGATAGGGCCACCTCTTCATCTTGTGATGACCAGGGAACAGTCAGTCCCTAATGGCTGGGATCTCCATAGGATGGAGAGCCTCTCTCAGGGCAGTGAGCACATGGTGGTGGTGGGGGGGGGCAAGCCCTGACTGCAGCACGTGGCATTTCTGTGCCATAAACTCTCCCACCATGGCTGCCTTCCAAGCTGGCAACTGTGAATAGGCTTTGGAGTTGTGGTTGGTTAATAAAGTCAGCTGTGAGACAAGGTCTCAAGAGGCTGAACCATCTCTCTAGTTCAGCTCCTCAGCCTGCATGGCCGCCCAGTTCAAAGCAGAGACTCCCTTCTGGAAACACAGCGAAGGATCAGGACATTCCTCCCTGATTCACCACCTGCTCAAGTGTCTGGGTACAGTAACCTCAAAGCTGAGTCTCTACACAAGCAGCTTCCCTACTGACCAGGGAGGCCAGCTGTCGAGACATCCCTATGAGGAGATTGGGGGAGTAGGTGGAAAGCCAGGGATCTGGAAGTGTCTCTGGCTCTGCTACTAATTGGTTCAGTGACCTCAGGAAGTCTACCTGATGTTCCTCAAGATGAGGAGTGGATGACCTGACCTCCACTCCTCAGGAATCAGTTGGTTAGCAGGCTGAGAACTGGGTGCACCCCCATGATTCCTGGAGAACAGGCTTCAGGCTGGGCACTGGTGCAGGGAAGCTGGTCGCTGTGACAGAAATATATCTCTGCTAAGCCAGAGCCAGCCGTCACTTGGCTCCTCTCCCTACACCATGACTCAGCTGGAATTCATGGGCACAGAGGAGAGGTGGATGGAGAGAATTCCAGAAAAAACTGTGACAGTCAGTGGTGGGTGGGCCCAGACCCAAGGAATCGAGATGTCTGCCAGAGCCGTGTCAATACCTCAGTTTACCACCGCATGGAAGGAAGGCTCTTTTTGGGTTCCTCTGGTCAATAAAACTGTGTTCAACGGCTGTGGAGTCTATGCCTTGCGGAGGTGCTGAAGAACTTCCCCGAGTGTCCCCCAGTGCCTCTCCTATGGGAAGTTCCAACACAGTTCCGTGACGTTGCCTGCAGAAGCTGGGTATGTCTAATACTTCAGACCACGTAGCATGAGAGGTCAAGGACGTAGTCTTTACCCAAGATGCTAGACCCTACGTTTGCAGGTGAACAAGCCTGCCTTTCTTCGTTCTCCCCGCCCCCCGAGATGCCTTCCCTGACCTGTAGGCAACATGCTCACATTCTATTTTATGGCATGTCTTCCTCCTATTGGGAGTCAGAGGCCAGGCAGGGTACTGGAGATATTGAAATGCCAGAGGCTGGGGAGCAGACTCTGTGGGTAAAAATGCCTGCTGTACAAGTACAAGATCCCCAACATCCACGGAAAAGCTAGGCACGGCAGCACACATCTGTAACCCCAGCCGTGTGGGCAAAGGCAGGTGGATCCCAGGGCATCATGGTGGGTGAGTCCAGTGTAGGCTTGGTAAGAGACGTTGCCTCAAAAATAAGGTGGAGAAACAACTGAGAGAAAAGAAAGACATGTGATGTATGTGGACACCTGCCCTCCACATTCACATGTATGGGCAAGCACAGCTGTGTACACATGTGCACACACATACCATATACCACACACTGCTACTACTACTAATTAATAATAATAATAATAAAATTTAAATACCAGGCAACAAAAATTTCCTTCCTTCCCCAGTCCATCCTCCCACTTTCCTCAGTCCGTCCTCCCTCCTTCCTTCCTCAGTCCGTCCTCCTTCCTTCCCTTCTTTCTCCTGCTGTTCTTTGGCACATACAAGAAACATGAGGTGTGGACACAC